CTCTGGAACCAAGTGTGGAGAGTTCGATTCCTGGTTGGAGCAGCCAAGTGATGTAATAACCAGAGGAAGGGTTGGAGCAGCTTGGTGATGTAATAACCATGGAGGAGGGTCCCATTGGGGAAGAAGTAAAAGCCATGTGGGAACCTGGGAACCAATAAGGGCACAACTTGCGATTTACCTCCACTAGTCACTGAGGGGCCGGGGGCTAGAGGTCCAGGATTTAGTCCGGCTAAGCTGGGACACCTGGGTTATCAAAAAAAAAAAAAAAAAATCTCTGAACTCACAAAATATGATGTCATGTCCTCAAATCTCTGAACTCACAAAATATGATGTCATGTCCTCAAATCTCTGAACTCACAAAATATGATGTCATGTCCTCAAATCTCTGAACTCACAAAATATGATGTCATGTCCTCAAATCTCTGAACTCATCTTAAATCATTTTAAGATAATTGGAACAATACCCCCTTAATGTTTGCATGTTTTTGGAATACTCCATAAGTTTTCATTTTGGGGCAAAATCTCCTTGTATGATCCAAGCATTGCAAAATAACCCCTACAGTCTAAGTCCATAAGTTTAGCTGTTAAAAATAATAAAGAGAGCCAAAATCAGTAAAACCCCAAAGGGCAAATCCGTGTGACTACATCCTTTCTCTCCTTAAGGCACTATTTGTTTTTAAAAAAAAAAAAAAATACCAACTGCAGTAAATTGAAAACAGTCACTAATATAAACTCCAAACCGATGGCTACATCACCATCATCCAGTACCTTTTTTTAAGAGAAAAGTAACATTTGTACATGTATCCGTTGAATATTTTGTCTCATGGGATGGCTGAATGTTTACTAGCGTATATCTGCGCTTTGAAGTTTTTCAACCAGCAATAGATGTTCTCTCCACCACCTTAACTTAAGATAAACTTTTTTATAGTTCATTCAGTGTTGCCTTCTCTGCATGACTCTCATTAACTGAGACAAACGCCATATTCGTTAATTTTGTTTTGGTGTTTCGGAATTTTTAGACAAGGAAATTACTCAAAGAGTCTGATATAGAACAAGGATATGAACAAATGGATTTATCCTTTGAGATTTTATTGGTTTCAGCCCTCTGTATTGCTTTTAACGCCTAAACTAACTGATTTAGACGGTAGGAGGTATTCGACAATTTTTTTAGGAAGATCTAGGGGAGTTTTGCGCCGAAATGAAATGTTTGGGTATTCCATAAAATAGGTTAACATTAGGGGAGTATGATGTTAATTATCCTTTATTTCATTTATACGTTATGGATTTAAGTAATTTTTTAAAAACTAAAAAAAATATTAAAAATAATTAAACAAAAATGACACAAGTAAAAATATTTTAATCTCTGTCTCTCCTCACCCCACTCTTGCTCTGTCCCTGTTTCCTTCCTGTCCTACTTTTTGAAAATTATGAAGGGATGAGACAGAGAAGGGTCATCCTGGTCTGCCCTCTCTGTTACTTGGGGTCCATATAATAATGTAAATTCAACTTTTTTAGAAATTTTTCCAAGTAAATAATTTTTACAACTTTCAACGTAAATATGAGCACGGTCTATTTCTGTGTCTGCCAATAGCATTCTAGTACGAAGACTTGTTCGAAGTCTTCAAATATATCCAATGGACTTTTCAACCATCAGAAGAAAAATGCTAACGAAATCTTCTAATACGACATCATTCGTTTATGTCAAGAATCATACGAAGGATGTGAATGATCAATACAGGATTCGTTACTCTTAGATAGTAAGAGATGATGATCTATGTTTTATTCAATTAAGTAAATAATGAAATCCTTATCCAATGTGTGTTTTCGACTAATATCGACTTAGGAATGGAATGATAGGTATGATTGATAATCGAGATTGATAGATTCACATCTCGTAATTAATCTGATTACATTTACAAAATGATTATATTTAAAGGTAAACGTACTAGTTTGATTTTATTACACTTTTCGTTACATGTATTGCCCTGAAACATTACTAGATGTCAATCTGGGACAGTGAATATGAATTAATTAATCTATGTGAATTAATGATAAATTAAATACTTTTAATTTATTTTGATTAAATCAAAATACTAGTTCTTGATGTTAGACATCGTGATTAGAAACCTAATGGTCACACCCAAAGATGAGAAATAAAAAAATGATATTACTAATGAATTAACTGACAAGTATTGGATATTTGTGGAATTAATTAGATTGGCCAAGTTTAATTAATTGGAATAATAAAATATTGGGTCGACATGTTTAATGGGTGGGTCAAGCCCACATAAACATCTATTAATAACGAATTAGGATTTGAGGGATCATAATATACATTAATAATCTTACAAGCACAAGAAGAGATAAACCACAACCCCTCATTCTTGTTCCCTTCTATGGATTACCCATAGAAGCTATACAAATGGGAATGTTGTGATGGGCGGAGATCATGATTGTTCGTGTTTTAGGATTGCTAAAGAAGTTTGTAGAATTTACTAAAAATATAATTCGAAATACAATTTCTATCTAAATACAAAGAAGATACTTGATAGAAATTAAAATTATTTTAAATTTCGTAATGCATGTGTAAGTAAATTCTCAACGCAGCATTCATAATCCAAATCCATAACTTAATAACTTAATATATGATGGCTCATATAAAACTCGGCCAGTTTGAATGTTTTTCCCCATAATTCTATACGATCATTTTCTATTTACCAAACTCAAAATTGTAATTGTTAATTATTGATGAACTAATCTAAAATATCTGTAAAGTGTAAAAACATTTACTCTCTGAAAATTAAATTTTGAAATCAAATTTTTATTTACAAATTCGCAACTCCAAAACTGAAAATAATTAATGTAACGGCTCAAGTTTTAATATTTAAATCGATACCAAACAGGATGTATTCTTAATACATTAACAAAAAAAAAATAAAAAGTTTCTCCACCAATAAAACGTAATACAATTTTATACTTATAACCCAATTGGACATGTTTAAAATTTCTAATTAAAATTTTTATGAATTTTAAACTTAGAAATTGATTAAATAAAAAAATATATCCTATTAAACCTGATTATTTTTATTGTGTAATACAAGTCCTAGCACCAAGACAACACCACATCGCCAATCAACCAACGGCCCATTCTAACCTGTGAAGAGTAGGAAAAGGGTGAGTACATGGAAATACTCAGCAGGACACGAAAATAATGGTGCAATCCCGAATAAAAATATTAGATCATGCATAAAAACATCATACTTTGATTGATAATAAGGATTGTTGGAAAAGACACAAGAAATTCACGTTCTCAATTCTTTAATTTCAGCCTACTACCAGCCGGTATCTATGTTTTCTCTTTTCTTTTCCCTCTTTAGAATAGATAATGATTTCTTTTGAATTGTATTTGAAGTTAAAAGGGGAAATTAAATTTTTGATAGGCCAAAAATATGCATGATGCCGTGATTTCTACCCACAAAAGTTTCCATCCGGAAATCCAAGAAATCAAAAAAATCCATTTCCTTTCCTATCCAATCTACACATGACAAAACCATCCCCCACCAAGCCCCAAAATCAAAGCAACAAAACAAGTTTGATTTTATCATACCATGTGCCACTTCTCGTCACATGTACTGCCTTGAGACATTACGAGATGTCAATTTCGGACGATGAATATGAATTAATTAATGTATGTGAATTAATGATAAATTAAAAGTATATCTCATTTTAATTAAATCAAAATACTAGTTCATGCCATTAGGTATCATGATTAGGAACCTAATGATCACATAAAAAAATGAAAACTAAATTATAGCTAATGAATTAACTGAAAAGTATTGGACATTTGTAGAATTAATTAGATTAATTAACTTATTGGCTATGTCTAATTAATTGAATTGATATAATATGGGGTCGACATGTTTAATGGGTGGGTCAAGCCCACTTAGAACATCTATTAATAACATGTTAGGATTTGAGAGATCATAATATACATTAATAATCTTACTAGCACAAGAAGAGATAAACCACAATTCCTCATTCTTGTTTCGTCGTATGGATTACCATTAGAGGATAGACAAAATTGGATAGTTGTGATGTGGGGAGATCATGATTGTTTGTGTTCCAGGATTGTTAAAGAAGTTTGTAGAATTTACTAAAAATATAATTCAAATTACAATTTCTATCGAAACACACGAAGATACTTGGTAGAAATTAAAATTATTTTAAATTTCTCAATGCACATGTAAGTAAATTCTCAACGTAGAATTCATAATCCAAATCCATCATTCCTAAGACATTCGCTTAATAACTTAAAATAAGAGGGCTCATATAAAACTCAGCCAACTTGAATGTTTTTTCCCCATAATTCTATAGCATCAATTTCCATTTAACAAGTTCAAAATTGCAATTATTAATTATTATTATTTGCTGCTGTCCATTTTTGACTTTGGGTTTTGGTGGGACGACCAACTTGCATTAATGGCTTGAATCTATGATGTTGGTGTTGAATGGTGAAAGAAAAGTGGTTATTCACGTGATTGCAAAAGTGGGAGCGTGTGTGAGCAACATGGACAAACACATATAATCTTTTGCATTGGATGATCAGTGGGTATCAATCCTCCATTTTGCAAGAATCACGCCCAGATAGCCTCTAGAAGTATGATGAAAATTAAAATTTTTAATTTTGTAAGGTTGAAATGTACATCCTTTCCAGTTCCACTTTCTGAGAATTCTGAAGGGATGAGACAGCGTAGGGCCAGCGTGGTCCATCCTATTCAATGACTTGAGGTCCATATAATAATATAAGTTCAACATCTTGTAGAATTTTGTCCAAATAATTAATTTTTATAACTTCGAATGTAAATATGAACACAGTCTATTTCTTATATGTATATGTCTGCCAATTGCATTAGAGTTCGAAGTCTTCTAAAATATCCAATGGACTTTTTAACCGTTGGAAGAAAAATGCTATATGTATTCTTTAAATAGTGACTGACAACGGCCTTCATTGGAATCATTTATAAATATGAAAAATCTTGACAGGTTCTCGCAATAGGGTAGGAGATGGAGACATTGGAAAATATGCTTTTTGAAGCAGCAGCTGAGGGAAATGTGAATTCTTTGAAGAAGCTGCTTCAAGAAGATCCAATAATTCTTGATAGAGTTATAGTTAATAGTTACTCTGATACTCCTTTGCACGTAGCAGCAATATTGGGACATATCGATTTCGTGAAGGAAATCTTAAGACGAAGACCTGAATTTGCACGAGAATTGAATTTATGCCGATCATCGCCTCTTCATTTGGCATCTGCTAAAGGTTATATCGAGGTAGTTAGAGTGTTGTTATCAGCTGATCCTCGAATGTGCCTAGCTCGAGATAGTAATGGGCTGACGCCTCTCCATCTGGCAGCCATCAAAGGCCGGATTGAAGTTGTGAAAGAGTTGGTTCAAGCAAATCGTGATGCAGCTCAAGTGATCGTGGGTCAAGGGCAGACTATTCTGCATTTGTGTGTGAAGTACTATCAGATTGAGGCCTTAAAGCACTTGGTGAATACCATTAGAGATCAAGATTTCACAAATTGTAAAGATAGTGATGGAAACACTATCTTACACTTGGCAGTAGCTGATAAACAAGTTGAGGTATGCCAATAGCTCTATTTTCATACTTGAATTCAGCCAAACCCATTTTTCTTCATTTTAATTTTGAGAAAAAACCGAACTTTTCGTGTCACATGTTTATAAATGGAATTAACCATTTGGTAGGGAGGATTTAGAATCGAAAAAAAAAGAGAAGCTATAATATTCTTTTGTATAATGTCAAAATATTGTATACCAAACACGTATTAAATATTTTTAAATGTCTCCAGACAGTTAACTTTTTGCATGTGGAGTCTACAATAGAAGTTAATGCTCAGAATCTTCGTGGAATGACAGCAATGGATGTTTTGATCCGTAGTCAAACAGATTTGAGGGATGAAGAAATTGAAGAATCTCTGAAACGTGCTGGAGCATTTGCATCAATGGAAAACAATTCATTAGTCCAAATTAATCATAACATAACTAGTCCAGGCTCGAATTTGTCCTATGAACACCGAGATTTGTCCTCAAATGTGAAAAAGAATGGTAGAGAAAAGATGACTAAACAGAAAGATGATTGGTTGGAGAAAAAACAAAGTGCATTAATGGTAGTGGCTTCTTTGATTGCAACCATGGCATTTCAAGTTGGAATCAACCCTTCGAGTGGAGTATGGCTGGATAATTATAAGGTTGAATCACAAGGTCATACTATATCAGTATCCGATTCTCACAAGGCTGGAGAATCCATTTTCGCTCATAATCATCCAGAGGATTATAGACAGTTCTTGATTGCTAATACAGCAAGACTCATTGCATCACTCAGTATCATATTGTTGTTGATGAGTGGTTTACCTCTAAAGAGGAGAATATTTATGTGGATTTTGATGGTGATCACTTGGATTGCAGTTACAGCAGTTGCAATGACTTATCTCTTTTCAATATCTGTTATAACACCAGAGAAAGAGAGAGAAAAACAAACAATTATAATTTTGATTGGGTTATCAGTTTATATATGGCTTGGCCTCATGGTTCTCCTACTCATTGGACACACGATTCGATTGCTAATCAAGATGGTACGTAAGTTAATAAAATGTTTGAGCCCGAAAGAAAGGATTCAGGGTTCGGGAATTACAAGTCATAGCACTATTTAAGGTGTTGTTATGTTATGTCTAGTAAGTTGGAGTATGATGTTGAATGCTTCTAAAATTCAAATAAAAAATAAAGTCCTGCTTATTTTAGTTTCTGATCATGTTCTATACTATAAATAGGAAAATGCCTTGAATGCTTGCACTATAAATATTTATTGTATGACGATGTTGTAATTTTGCTCCGATTATTGCTTATCAGATATAATCTGCGTAATACATAAATATAATCTTATTCTAATTCTTTAATTGTATATAATTTCTCCCCATGTGTTCAGTCATCTTAATTGAAAAATTTAGCTATTAAAGAATTAGCACACTTAGTTATTTAACCTTATTTTAAGACATGGACAGAGGTAGTCTTGAGGGTGCACCAATTGAGTGACCGCAATGAGCCTCACGTTGAATGACACCAAAAAGACAAATAATGATTATTATTTAGCATTATTATTTTTTGTTCCTAATTGCGTATCATACCAAGACATTTTTATTGAAGCATGGAGAAAGGATTCAAATAGTTTAGGCTCCTTTGTAGCTAATTTCGGTGAGTAGTGCTTAACAATTTTCATTTATGGATTATAGGCATTTGGCTTGGTGTGATAAGCAATTGCATAAGGCACTAAAGCTAAGAATAATGTGACTGACTAGTTATATAATTTTCTTAAATAGTAACTTGCCTTAAATAATGTGAGGGGTAAGGGATGAGAGGAAAAAGTATCATGTCTTAAATATAATTTTCTTGATTCCTAAAATCTGGGATTTTGTTTCATTATCACTGCTTTGTGGTATGTGTTGCAGAATCTCTCTTCAAAGATCTTGAAATCTGTGATTTTCAGACTTAGTCCAATGTATCTTTCTCTACCAATAACCAATCCAATCGATGTCAAACCACAATCAATCTAGTTCTCCTTGGTTGCTATTCAATCTTACCTATGTAAGACAAGAAATGATGATGAATTGTGGGCATAAAGGCTAGGAGAAGACACCACAAATGTATACTATGAAGGAACCACCAATTGCACACGTAAACAAACGTTTTGGACACCTCTAGAGGCTATTTTTCACGCACAAAAGGGGGCCGTTGGGATTCCTTGATTTCTCTCTCAAAACCTTTCAAAACATCACAAGAAAGTGGCTAGGGTTATAGCCATATATATATACTCTAGGTTTAGGCTTTAAGTTGGACCATTAAATAGGTAAACAGGCCAAGATTCAAGCCATCCAATAGGGAATAGAATTGAGTTAGGTGTAGCTCATGGGCTTGGTTGTTGGACTTATTTCATTCATCGACCTATCCTAATGAAATAATATTAACCCACGTTAACATCATAATTCGAGATTTATTGGGTATCAAAAACCCAACAGTATGTGGATCTTTTCAATGCCCATTAAAATCTTACGATAATGGCAACTTATATTCTTTTCAAGTTTGATATGTACATCTTGATAAACTAGAAAAAGCGATTGATGAATTCTAGTTATT